GCAGTCCCTCGCAGCATGAACAGCTGCTTCCACTCCTCCCTGAAGACCAGCACACACTTGAATAGGAGCAGTGGCACCAACCAGATCCTTCTGTAGGAGGGTCATCACTGTCTTCCCTATTATCCTTCGTAAGACTTCACCAATGCCAACAGGCCTGACGCCAGGCTTTTTATCCAGGGGAACAAGTCGACATGCTGTCAATGAGGTCAACATCGTTGGATCCAGATTCCTGACACATAGTTTCCTTGCTATCCCTGCTATAGCATTGCATAGATCCTCACACTTCTTACCAAACTGTTTAGAACACAGTAGTCTCTTCCACGCATCCGCATCCATTCCTGAAGGCCCTGCAGCACCCTGTACTCTCTTTGCTGCTTGTCTTATCGATTCCCCGTCAATACTGTCAAAGATAACCGGCTCTACTCTCCTCACTGGTCCACTCTGACAGCTTCCCTTTGATGCAGGTGATGCCTTGGGATGCTTCTCTTTCAGTACTTTTATCACATCTGGAGTGGGTTCAAGAATCCCGGTGGCATTTTCGCCAATCCACCTCATTGCTGCACTGACTTTACCTTTCATCATAAGTCGAGTGAAGACTCTCTCAACATGGCCATGTTCATGTTTCCCCTTTCCCATTCTTCTCTGAATCTCCTGTCCTTCTCGCAGCAACTCTTCTAACTTACCTGCCTGCCACAAAACAAGCCTTCTCTTCAACACTTCAGTGTGTTCCTTTGCTTTGGATCTCTTTGAGGGTTTCTGCAACAGTAGTGATGGCATTATCATCAAAAGGGTCATGGTCACTGATTCCATAGTACTGCCTGCTGAAAAATTGTTGGCCACTTTAGTCATTTCCTCAATGAATGCTTTTCCTGCAGCCCCTGAGGGAAGCAGAAATATGTTTCTTCTCCATTTGACTACAACACCATATATTCCCTCACATTGTGTTAGAACTTCCCAACTATTCCATGATCTTAATTTCAATTGAGATGGATCCCTTACATTTTCATAACCTGGGAAACAGCACTCCTTTCCCTCTTCTTCCACAATATGAGGGTCCTTTGATATTGGAGTAGATGGTTGTACACTTTCTTCGACCTGTCTCCTCAACTTTCGGATAGCTTCAGTTATGGGGTTTTCGTCTTCGTCTTCGTTGCTCTTCTCCTCCTTGCCACATCTTTGACATGACCACTCAGAATCCTCATTTTCTGCTAGGTCTTTAAACTGCAACTCCGACAGTCCACTACATGCCGCATGGAACCATCGTCCACATTTTCCTTCACATTGAATACAATCACATATCTATATCATATAATAACTACATACATTTGCTTAATTCTCTTAGACCTTTTGGCCTTAATACTGTCAATCCCTTTGGATTACCTATATTCCATAAACCTTAATTTGATCTTTTTACCTTTTTCGGATTCTTAATTTTGTAACGGTTTGAGTTTCACTAACCTTTTAACATTTTTTAGGTTCAATGTCACTGGAGATGACTACAATCGAAATATATTTGGCAAGAATCTGAATGTTTTCAGTGTTGAAAGTTTAGTTTCTTAAATCCTGGAGTAGTCATTCGTGTCCCTGATATTTGGGTTAATTCTAACTCTACAATCACATATCTTCTTCCAGTTGATGGTCTGAAGTTGCCTAAGGGAACAGTACTTGGAGACCAAGCTAGGCTGGACATTTCTGGGGGGGGGGGGACAGTTATGGGGTTTTCGTCTTCGTCTTCGTTGCTCTTCTCCTCCTTGCCACATCTTTGACATGACCACTCAGAATCCTCATTTTCTGCTAGGTCTTTAAACTGCAACTCCGACAGTCCACTACATGCCGCATGGAACCATCGTCCACATTTTCCTTCACATTGAATACAATCAATGAAACTAATAAATCAATGTTTTAGCTCATTTTACAAACTCAAATATTTAAAACAATTAAAATTGTATAGTGCTCAATTTGTAAATGACTAGTTGATCTTTGCTATTGGAAGTTTGTCAAGGACTGGCAGCTAGCGGGGGCAAGGAATGCACGGGCTTAGGGGCTTTTGTGCACACCAGAACACTAGCTCGGTAGATTTTTGGAAACTAGAAGGACTGAAAACTAAAATTGTTTTTGATGGAGGCTGAGGCATGATTTTGAGAGGGACGGTATAATAGCTTGTGGTAACAACTGGCCTTTACTTTAATAGGATGAAGTTTTAGTTTTAGGACAGGAAGAAGGCATTAAGAAGATTTGCTCTTTGTTTACAAGGCAGAATATAAGCAATGTTGGTTATAATATGTATCAATATCTAGATCTTCGTTTATCAATTTTCACTAAATGGGTTTAAAATTTTAATAGGGAGGGAAATTCATCAACTTTATTAAGTACCTATCAAAAATAAATCTTATATCAATGTAATATATTAAAAATCATAATCCTAAGTCTAATAATAAATCTGTTAAAAACACTTTCTCACTACACTGCGCTCACACACGTTAGTAAGACAAAGGAAAATGCACACCCAGCTAATTTTCAATTTCAAGATAATCATTTTGGATGTGTGGACCCTAGGGTAGACTTAATGTCAAAATTTAGATTAGAGCATTCGAAATCTTTGTTTGTCCGATCAAGATCAGCATGGTTATGCTGGTTGACGAGCAGTGATTGCTTCATCCTAGACTTCAGGCAGGCCACACTTAGACAGTAGTCACGTATACCAAGCTTAGGCACAATTACGTTCCAAATACGAGTCGTTCTGCTATTGAAGTTGTCAGGGGGGTCTGCTTGGCTTAGTATAAGGGTGGGTTTCCTACTTGAGCAGGTGAAATTTTCATGGAGGGAAATCGGAGCACGGAATTTCATGATTTTATAGAGCTCAAGGAAACAATGGTAAGTGTACAGGTTTTGGACGGCAAGTATTCCGTGTTCCTTGAACAAAGGTTTCGTGTGCTCTTTCAAGAAAAATTTTTTGTTCAGATTTTGGTTGCCAAACGGTCGAGCACGAGCACAGGTCTTAAATTTATCTAGGTATGCCTCCCTGTCGCCAAACAGTACCCTGAGACAATATTTTTGTGCTTTGAATACAGAACTTATACGAGTTTTGGCTGCCCCACCCCAAACCGTGATACAATAGGAGAGGTGTGATTCAAATAGAGTGTAATACAACTGGCGGTGTAAGAAATCTGGGAGGGAGCAGCGTAGGCGGCAGAGAGTTGATGTTGCATGGCTGAGAGAACGCCTAAGTGATTTTATATGTTCTTCCCAGGTTAGCTTTTCATCGATGACGACTCCCAGAAACTTAGCAGATATATATCATATAATAACTACATACATTTGCTTAATTCTCTTAGACCTTTTGGCCTTAATACTGTCAATCCCTTTGGATTACCTATATTCCATAAACCTTAATTTGATCTTTTTACCTTTTTCGGATTCTTAATTTTGTAACGGTTTGAGTTTCACTAACCTTTTAACATTTTTTAGGTTCAATGTCACTGGAGATGACTACAATCGAAATATATTTGGCAAGAATCTGAATGTTTTCAGTGTTGAAAGTTTAGTTTCTTAAATCCTGGAGTAGTCATTCGTGTCCCTGATATTTGGGTTAATTCTAACTCTACAATCACATATAATCTTCTTCCAGTTGATGGTCTGAAGTTGCCTAAGGGAACAGTACTTGGAGACCAAGCTAGGCTGGACATTTCTGCAAGATCGATTTGGAATGCTTCAGAGAGGGCATATTTTGATGGAAGGGTATTTCATGCCCCAGCCCCCTCCAATGCAAGCAAATCGATCCCAGCAATGTACCAGTCCCATGAAAATGAGAAAAAGCGATGTTACAACCTTGGGTTCTTGAAGTGGAGAAAGGAAGCTTCACACCTTTAGTGTTCTCGACTTCTGGGGGAATGGGTAGTAGGGCTGAAAGACTGGTAAAAAAGCTGGCCAGTAAGATGGAGTACCACACTGGCCAGAGGTACTCGGATGCTGTAGGTTACATCAGAAAGCGCCTTCGCTTTGAAATCCTAAGAACAACAGTGATTTCTCTCCGTGGAGACAGAGGTGCGAGAAAAAACATTGTTAATATAAACAGTCTAGATCTTAACTTGGAGCCACAAGGCCAAGTGTAATTTTTGAGTGTTTAGGGAATTTTTTATATTCTTAAAGGTTTGTTTTTATATAGGGTCATTGCTATATTATGTGTATATTGTTTGAATAATTTTATATATTAAATAAAAAATATGTGTTAAAGGATCAACCATATATTACTGAAACAAAATTTTTGCAATCTTGGAAACCTGAAGTTATAAAATATATAACGAACCTACTACCCCGTAGCAAATTTTTTGTTTCCATGCAATAATCTTTGTTTTACTATATAATATACTTGACCATAATGTTACATTTTATCGAAAGGAGTCACGGAATATATAAAACAAACTATAATGAGAGACACCAAATGTGTAATAAAACAAACATCAATTATGAAAAAGAAAACTGAAAGTGCTTCTGAAAGAAAACCAATCCGTGCACAGAGAACAAAATACATTTTTTCGATATTAAATGAGTAAATTAATTTTATTAACGATGAGCTTTTTCAATCAAAAACATATTTACCCCAATACTTCACATAGCCATGTCACTCCTGCGCGCAGTGTCGTGACCTCCCTTCGTCGTAATTAGCTTGTATTCAGATTGAACAATTTTGAAGTCAAATAAATGTGGTTTCTTTTAGACTTAAATAAACAATATGGATGTAGTCCGAAAGTAATTTGTCTACTAAGTAACATTTTGAAATTATGAACAAAATTGGCGAAAATTTGCCGTAGATGTGACCAAAAAACTACGCGCAGAACTAAATATTTCTTCATAAACGCGTGAAAATTTTTGAGTTTAACATTGAATATTTTAGCTTAGTTATTGTAATACTTAATTTTCAAGTCTCTATCCGATAACTAAATATTTTATCTTTACGACAGTATAAAATTTGTTTGTATATTTGCTAAATTAAAAAAACAGTAGCAATAGAAACGTCGAAGGTCTTGCGCTTATTTCAGTCCCAAAATATACCCTAATCATTGATTTCATAAAAATCACTGAAAGTGATGTCTACAGGCATATTTAGCCCTAACACCTTCCCAAATCATTTAGCAAGGGTTCATAGTCAGTTTTTAAGATCAACTTCAATATCATTGTCAAAACAGTGAAAGACATAATACTAAAAGTAAATCATAAATGAGTGGTTTCTCTTTCTCTTTCATTTTAACACATCATGCATTAGTAGAAGCAATCCGAGATCTTTATTCATCATTGAAGATGTAGAACATAGAATAATTGGTCCTCTTTAGTGTCTGATTACCTATACTCCTGAAAATATATTAGGGATATTATCAATTATGTAAAAAGAAAACAATATTGAATATGTGTACAGCATGAAACATTGATAGCTTATGTTTTTGAAAGCTCGCTTATTCGTTTAAGCGATCAAATAGTCAGTGTGCTCAGTGCAGTGCACAGTGGAGAACAGTTTAAGGCACCGGAAATGTTCCAAATAAATCCTCTGTCTACTATCAGACCACACACTCCACTATGCACTACAATGTATTGTATATCAATGGCAGTTGAAATGTGTTCCCGCCATTTTAAAATCAAAAATGTGCGCAGCATCTTACGGGACATGCGCCGTGACCAACGGTCACGGCGCAATGGTTATGCGCCGTGACCATGGTCACGGCGCATACACATTGCGTTTAAGTTTTTGTATAAATGTCCAGCTTCTCTGTGAAATTTGGTTGACTCGACTAATTTAAAAATGTAATACTCTTTGTTTCATTCTAGTTTAATAGTATTTCTATTATGGTCGGAAAGAATTATAATGTTTTTTTCTTCTACTGGGCCACATTCAGCCTGTCATTCTGCCATATTTTTTCAACGGCTATGACATGAAAACTAACATATGAACACTTATATGAGCCATTGCCCCATGTAAGATGTTTCTTTGTAGTCAGTAGTGTATTACTATTTCGGTTTTATAGTTGCATTTAATTCAGTAAATATCAATGGTTTCTTCACCTCTTCAATGTAATTGGTTTGGAGGTCATTTGAAATAAGGAGGTAAAATAACTCAGATAGCTTCCGGCAAGTTCCACGGATACAGTGATTGAGTTTCTAGTCAACCTAGCCTCTTTGCCTGACTGATTTCTTGTTCGGCAGGGTGACTGCTTAAACGTCAACTTCAACCTCTTCCACTGCATCGAATCGTACTAGTAGAATTTGTACCTGAAATATTACATTTTATAGTTTAGCGACCTTCACATGTGGGTCAAACTTAGTATTTCTGAAAGTTTCGCCAAATTTCATTGATTTCAGAGGGTGTGGCACGTCACTCTCTCATTTTAGTTTTAATTATTGTCGCATATTAGTGCCGTATAATTAATGATGTGATCCATCCAGTTGTTTGACTTTACTTGTGCCCAGATGAAGGATATGAAAACACTGCTCAATATATTTAAGAGATATGTGGACTGGTCACGTTTCCAGTTGAAATCCTCCAACTCAAGAGCCCTGGTCATGAAGAGGGAGTAGTAGTAGAATGGTATGAAGAGAACAGTGGAAGTGGAGGCGTCGAAGAAAGTTTTAGTCTAGGGGGAGGGGTGATTCCAAACGTAGCGGAAAAGCCAATCAAGTTCCTGGGTCGGTGGATTAGAACAGAGGCAGCACAGTTTGATGAGGAAGTGGCTGGGTGTAGGCCATACACTGAGTAACATCTGCTTATTTAGTCAAACATCTACGGGGCCTTGCCCATCAGCTGCCTGTCCGATACTTGGAAGCTGGAGAAATGTCGACGCTGCATGCAGATCAGTCCTACCAGCAGTTTTTTGATGACATGATAAGGGCGATTCAACCGCAAGTCAGGTCAGGGAGAGTTTGGAGACCAGACAAGGAACTAGATTGTGCTGAGAGGGACTTAGTCTGTGAAGAGGTGAGAGGAATGGTCCAGCCGTACAGCAGGGCAGGGATTGGTTTTGGAGAATGGAAGAAACCGTGGAAGAAGATGAACGCCCGAGAACAACAAGCTGAGGTCCTTCAGAGAGTTAAAAGAAACCTCGAATATGAAGTTCAATGCGGCTCTCTTGAGATGCAGTCAAGATGGGGACAGTGGAGGGAAGAGGTTATGAAGACGGACATGAGCTGGCACAAACTCTTTAAGTATAGTGATTCGCTCACAGGTTTTATGCTCAGTGTGACTTATGGTACTGTGGTCACACCAGCCTTAGCATTGAAGCGGTGTGAAGAAGAGGATGGACTTTGCAAGCTGTGTGAGGATAGGACAGGGACCATACAACACATTCTATCTGGTTGTAGGGTCTCACTGAGCCAAGGGCGTTACAGGTGGCGGCATGATAAGGTTCTCAAACAACTCACAGACCACGTGACTTTCCATTGTGAACGCCGAGTGAACACGTCTAAGAATAGAGTGAAGGAGACCAAGCAATGCATTGATTTTATGCCTGAGGGAAGCAAGAAGTTTCCAGCGAAGAAGAGTGCACAGAGCGTAGTTTTGGTATCCTGGGACCTGAGTGCATCTCGGGACTGGGTGGCGATGTCTGATCTTGATGAGCAACTGAAGTTACCATAGGAGAACGCCGAGACCCGGCTGAGACCGGACCTCTTAACCAAATGCAATAGTTAGGGGCCATCTACTTAGGACGTCCGGCAAATAGGAAGGGTGTGGTTTCTGAAAATCCGGACGTCTGGAAATTTTGTCAGAATTAACGAAAAAGCCCCATTTATTTCAACTCTTTGACACTAATTACTCTGTAAGTTTAGATCCCTGTATTTTGAACGAGTACCTAAATGTAACTATGCTAAACCTGTTCGACACTAAATGTATTATTGTCAAGTATTATTTGTGCTCCTAAAAGTAAAAGCAGTTGGAAATATAGACGTCCGGGGAGGGGAGGGTTTTGAAAATTTGGACACACCCAGAGGTAGACTGTCTGTGTGAAGGTAAAATGGTGACATCCTCCGGATCTAGCAGAGGTCAAGAGTTATCGGGATTCCTTCTGTTGCACAATTATTGTAATATATGATCTTCACGTAGAGCTTAATCTGGCACGTGTAGTTACACGCGCGCAATTTAACGTGTTATGTGCTTTGTTAGCGATTTCGTATACAATTGCTAGTTTTTTATCAATACATAATAAAATGATTTCCCAGTTCAAATGCTTACATATTGTGTTAGAAATGAAGTCTGCTAACACCAATGTCTCTTCTCCGTTGAACCTGGAGGAATAATAATAATAATAGTTGGTCCGCTTAATTGTTAAGTGATGAAATGCAACATACGGAATGAGCAATGAATGAATTACTAGATTAGTTGTATATATAAACGTGATAAAATTTAGAAGATGTGTAACGTTTATTACCAACTTGTTTGTGGTCTGATTATTGAGACAGAGCAGTTACAGTGTATCCCATGTGCGAGACGAGGAACATGTCCCACTGGATATGTTTGAAATACAGTGCAGATAGCAACGGCCTGTTCACCATATTCACGAAGTAACATACCAAATCGTGGATCGGGTATCAGTGTAATATGGTATTGGTAAGCTGATGCAGCATGGTTATAGCTTAGTGATCTTTTCGAATGTTCTAGTTTAATGTAGAAAAACCGTTTGGATTTGAGTGTTATAAGATTAGATAGGTTATCATCAGTTATCGATGGTTTTGCGGGGTAAGACACGTGTTAGTCGTAGCTAGTGTTAGTCTCTATACGACTAGTTAGTACGGTGTGTAGTGCGTAGGCAAAGTTTATCATTGGTACGCCCCGGTCGGAGGATTATTCTGGTTTTAACGATATTTTACAATAGTATTTCTTGGAGTCTATACTGTCTGACTCTACTTAACGATTGGAAACTGGCCAACTGTTTCATAAGTACAATGTACATGTGTATATTTTACAGTGCAATCTTATCTACAGTCCCAAAGATATTTCACCACATTTCGTTTGTCAAATTTGTAATCTTTAAGTGTATTGTGTAATGTTTGCAGATCATATAATACAGAAAAGTAGATCCTTCATGCAATAATTAATACTGTTTCATTTCTTGACTAATATTCAAGAACATAGGAAACTGGGTTGTGAGATTAAAAAAACTGGGTTTGTGGCTAAGTATAAGTTTCATCTTAAAAGTACTTTTACTAAATTACAATTAATCATATCATTGTCTAATTATTTCATACAGTCTAACTCCCCATCACAATCAGTACAATAGTTGATGAGGAAAGAAATTGTCTGTTGACTGAACAAAATGACGCCGCCACAAGGTTAGTTTGTTGGACATAAAATAGCTACTTTAATTCATCTCCAAATTGTATCGTAATTCTGAACGAAATGTAGCGGGTAAACCAAATTTGTAGAATTGTAAAATATCTAGAACTACAGGATTACGTCTAAGATGGCAAGTACGTACGGTACGTACCTTTAAATTAGCTGTACGGTACGTACTTAATAAAGTAGGCTGAAAGGTACAAATCCAGTTGATAGCAATGGACAAGCGTAGATTAAGGTTGCGACCTGAGCTAGCTGAAAAGCTGGTGTTCGTATACTGCAACAAAAGGATGAAGCTTTGAGTTTAACGATAATTACAAGTAGTAGTAGTGTAGTACCGGTTAATTTGTGTGTTTATTTTCGACTTCTAGTTCTGTCTCAAAAATTATGATGATAATACTAATAAAAAATTGCAAGTAATTCACTGAATAGAAGTGGATTCTAAAAATTTGAAAAAAATTGTACCTTACAGTGCCTGTACCGTACGTACCTTTAAAAGTAGCTGTACCGTACGTACTTAAAGCCCTGTACCGTACGTACTTGCCATCTAAGGATTACGTGTACCAAAATTTTATAAGATCACGAAAATTTTAGTATTCTACAGTATTCATATTCGTTTAATAAAACTAGCACGATGAACCAAGCGCCCTACGGGTGGATTTGAGTAAGAGTTAAGACCAACAGTTCCACTGATCCTCATACATATTGCAGGCAATCCCTAGACGTTTACACGAACCACCACGTGGAGCTCTTCCTGTACGAGCTGCAGGCAACCATAAAGCTAACGAAGAATGCTGAAAGACACGTTTAGACACTATTTACTGCAACTGTTTTGTTGACTTTTCCAAAGTAATATGTTAGTACAAGAATTAAGGTCAAGGCGTGACTGTGTTTTCTATGGAAAAAATGATTTTAACCTAATTTCTGCATGACAATGTTTAACCTCATTTCTACATGACTATGATCTAGCTATCAGGAAAATTTAAACATCTTATAGTTATAATTTAAAATTATATCATTAGAACTAAGGGTTCATTTAAAAGTATCGAAATCTAAGTTCTATTTTTACAGTCACCTTTTTAACTATTGAGTTCAATGATTGCTAACTTTGATTTACTCTTTAACTAAAATTTGCTGAAATTAAAAAGTTGTATGATAAAAAGGTACAAATAATCAAAAACTTAGTGGATTAAACTCGTTTCTAGCCTGCGTCCAAACTTGCTTATTAAAGTTAAACGTTAGAATTTATTTAGAACTGTAACTTCGATTTAATAAAAGGCTCGAATAAAAGCAAAGAGGTTACTAAGCACTTACCTATTACCCCCATGACATAAGGTTAAAATTATCCCCTAACGAGATATTGGCGAAAAACTATCTCGATCACGTGATATGACCGTATAAGGAAGTTAGCCTAATTACTCTTTAGTGTTTCAGTATATGCTTTTGTAAAGGATTTGGTTAGGGTTAGGGTTGGGATCAGATTAGAGGTTTCCGGGTTTCGAATAGTTGTTTAGGGCCATCTACAGAACGGGTTGAAGAAGTCACGTGACAGGCGATTGTAGAGTGATTAATCATTATCCGCCATAACTGCCATCGTAAACAGTTAATTAATTAGGTATCAACAATCAAGTACAATATATAATACAGCAGGGCTGATTACTGCTGACACATTATGAAGCAACTAAGAGCAGATGTATGGATGATGGAATAACGAGGGGCAACAGTGAACAGAGCGCGATTAGGGCGTCAACACTGGACGCACGAGATGTAAATCTCAAAGTGCTCCTTCATCAATTATGTTCACTCTTCGACGGATTTGACACGCGAAATTGCGCGGCAATTATGCGCGGCGTGTAAAAATTTTCTAAACCTTTCGGACAAGGGTTAAATTATTTTTCTACTGTCAACACAGCCCAAGTTATGCATGTTTTAATATCAAAAATTTCCGATTTTTTTGTATCATTTTTAACTAATTTCTTTTTCAAATCGCTGCCACATCAAAATTATTTTACGAAAGTACATAAAATTTTCACAGAAAGCAAGCCTAATCGTTTTAAAACTAAATTGTAAAAGAAATTAATATAAAAATGTTAAAACTTTAAAATTATCAATGGAATAAATTGTCAACGTCCAAATATATGTAAAATACGACGAAGAGAGGTCACAACACTGCGCGCACGGGTGCATGTGTCTACGCGTACTGCGTGACGCGCTTGTTGCAAAGCGGCGGTCGCGCTACTATACTGCAAGCGACAGAGCTCTGGCTAGAGCAACCCAAATACCAGAATTTTTAATTGATTATATTTTGTATTTGTAGCGCAATACACGATTGGGATGCGCTTGTTTCACGTTTCATGCCCGCAGCTGTATTGACGAAAAATATATATTTACTTGGAAGAAATATAGACTAGTAACATTCGTCAATGGTGCAGTCTATATTTCCGCCTTGGAGGACTTCACTGCTTCGACGCACCGTGCGAACTAGCATTATTGCTTCGGATCGTCGTCGATTGTTGCTGGGCGGCGCTTAGCCTGTCATCCCGCCGAATCTTTTGTCATACGTTGTATGACCCGCCGCGCACTTCGTGCGCGGCTCCCCTGTATCGTTAACTTAGTGAAACGACTCGTTCCGAACCATTTACCGCTGCGCAAAAGATCACGTGCACACCAACTACCAATAAAAAAGAAGTGACGTATGCGTTATAAAAGCCGCGCGCTTAGTTAGATTGTAAAATCTGATTAGTTGATTGTAAAATCGCATTAACGCGCCTATTTGAGCGTTTTAGAGGATTCAATTACGCCAGGTTATGTTTATGAAAAAATAGCTTGCGGTTCCAAGTAGTAAAGGTAACGCCGCACGTACACCAAATTGCAAATAATATTTATTGATTGTCATACGTAATTGTACATTGTATAACCCGTTGCACGTTGTATCGTTGAAACTTTACTTAGTGAAACGACAATGGGGCCCGGTCACGACGTGATACAAATTTTTGACAACGATGAAATAAACAATAAAACATTTGTTCAGGAATAATTTTTGCTTTTAAAATTTAGAAATAAATTTACCATTTCTTCATTTTTGGTAAATTTGTTCAATTGAAATTATTTTCAATATAATACGTTTCGATGCTCAATGCTGTTACATGCACAATATATATATTTTGTATTTATTATATTGTGTATATGATATATCATAAGCAGTTTAGTACTGCTATAGTTTCATAGCTTTAAAGGATTGAATGTGCCGCGCACTAATTTATTGACAAGATTCTTAATCATAAATTTAATTTTAATTTTTTGCTACTGTGAACTGAATTTTTCATTTTCGTCATTACATTTAATTATTAGTTTTTAAGAATGTAGTTAGTAGTTTGCTTTTTTAATTCGCGAAAAAATAAATGATAATATGTCTGGTCTTAATGAGTGAGGAATAAAGTGCCAACATGATTGAACGTGTTTCATATACATTTCACATGTATATACATTCATAACACAACTCATGCTTATAGTCTGTCTAAATGAGTGCATGAAATGATATGGGACTGACATGGGTAGACATTATACATGCTCTGGACTCAATCCAAAATCGTCAGTCATAGTTTTAGTTACACGCCGATGCATACCCTTAAAGTGTATTACTGTCAGTAGTAGTTATAGTATTATAGTATTCCTAAATTATCCCTACACATTTGTAAATAATTAGAATTGCGTATCTTTAATTATTTCATAATTACAACTATTGTGTACTCAATACAGTAATTGTCACTTCTGCACTGTATCCTTGTATCCTTGTATCCTTGTATCCGTATATCCTTGTATCCTTGTATCCTTGTATCCTTGTATCCTTGTATCCTTGTATCCTTGTATCCTTGTATCCTTGTATCCTTGTATCCTTGTATCATTGTATCCTTGTATCCGTGCTGTCAAGCTTCTTCATTTGTGTTTTGTAACACCCTGTTACGAATGTTTTTGATCGTACAAACTACAACTTAATAAAATTATTTGAGTTTCGAAACATTTCCCGAGTATACATGTAAAGAAAGATGTGAACCTATACTTGAAAGTAGGTGTAGTTAAAAAGTTTAAAGTTAAAAAGCCTGTAGTTATAAAGTTTGAATTTCTGTTGTTAAGTTTTTTATATTCTTGTAATGTTTAAAGCTCAGTTTCGTCCTCTCCAATTAATTACACAGTAACACTTAGGCCCTAGCCCTCCATTGGTTCAGATTGTTGGCTATTTGACTGGCTTGTGTTTTTTTGAACTTCTTATTCAATAATAATAATATCAGATTTAGATATAAATCAAGAGCCAACAAATTGAATTGGCTACTTTAACTACTTGAAGGGTTTTTATAAAATTTACTAAGATTTTATTGAATTTTTATATAGGGTCATTGCAGTGGCGTAACATTGCCTGTTGGTGCCCCCCAGCCGAAAAGGTGCCCCCCTGTTGGTGCCCCCTCCCCTTTTGGTGCCCCTCCCTAAAATTGAACAAATTAGGTGATTTTAAAGGAAACGCCGGTAAAATCTCTAAAAAAGTGTGTATCTAGAGCAAAACGCGCAGTTTTGCTAGTACTTTAGTTAAGTTTTCGAAATTGTCCCACATTCAAACGACGATTTGGCGTCCCCCTAAGACGGCGCCCCCCTGCACAGCGGGGTCAGCGGGGCCCTTCGTTACGCCACTGGGTCATTGCTATATTATGTGTATATTGTTTGAATTTCTCTCAATTTCTGTTACATTTTATTCGATGAATTTGTTTAAAAAATTTTAAAATTCGATTGTTTGGGCTCTTGAATAATTCGAGCCAACCAGAGTTGTCAAAATTAGATGGGCACAATAAAATATTTATCACTTTTTATCATTAGTTCTTCCTAACCTTCTTTGGCCTTCGAGGTTATTTGTCAGTTATGCATTAATTCATGTGGTTTACATCACATTGCACCTGAGCTGGGTGTACAGAACATTAATTAAAGATACCCTAATGTTTGTCAACTGAAGAAAATCCTCATAAGATTCAGGATCTATAGGCAGTGCCCCTCTATTTATTTTTGCGTCGACCGAATGTTGAAATGCAATATTGTACCAATCGGACGTTTTGAAAACAGATAGGCCTAATCTTCAGTAATATTGCCCTTAGGTAAGGTAATTTTGTCACTGGTTTTTAATGCCTTTTGTCTCGATTTTATTCAACTGTCGCAAAACGTTTTTGTAAGGAAAATGCTTACAGAAACTATACACAATAATTTTATAATTAAGTCATTAAACTCAAATGTTCTATCTAAAAATATTGTTTTGCTTTCTTTAATTGATACTAAATAAAATTGTTTGGAATTTTTTTGTTGTTGATTTAAACTTTCATAAATTTACTATCCAAATTAAATTCTGATTTTACAGTTTTTGCATTAAAGTACTAGGTTATAGGCTTTAAAGAGCGGAAAGGGTGTATTTAACGTTTTAACGCTTTCCAGAGGCTTGGCAATTATAATTATGGGATAAAAGCTTTCTCAAACAATGCTAATTATTATACTAATTGTTTAAAGGTACTGAAATGTAATATGTTATGCTCTTGATAACTTAATATCTCGTAGGGAACCAGGGTATGGGCACACTTCAGTTCATTGGCTGGCTCAAGCATCACTTGGACAGACGAACCTTTGAGGGCTGCGTCTGGGTGAACAAGGAGCAGCAAGTATTTAAAATCTTATGGCCTCGTGCAGACAAGAATCTGACCCCAGACAAATTGGGTGTCATGTTTAAGTGGTGGACACATAAGTTTGGCAATACAAGAAATCACAATCAACCGACTGCCATCAAAGGAAACTTCAGGTAAAATGCATTCATGCTTCTTAGATGTTACAGTACCATACAGTTTAGATAGTAAATTCTGTAGGATTGATTCTTTGCAATTGTTGATTTAAAATTTCATTCAATCCATTATATGTCCAACTATAATCCCTGTTATTAAGTTTTCAGATCTTATCAAAATAGCGATTAGTTATTACAAATCATTAGTAACATTTGTTTAAAGATGCCTAAATTTGCTTCCCTAGATCTTGTCTGAACAGTAAGGTTCAAAGCAAAGAAATAAAGAAGCTGAAGAACATGGACGATAGGAGTGATGCTGACGATTGGAAAGTCTTCCAGTTTACAGAGAACTTGAAGGATAACAGGAATACTTCGGGTTACACCAAACGTCGACAGAACAAGTAAGTCCTTGACACAGTCTAACAAAATTATGAATCGTATTGTAATAATTGAATGTAAATTGTAAACGACATAAGTTTTCTTTCTAAGTGTTATGTGATAAGGGGTCGTTCACATTTTACGTTATCACTGAAGCTGTGGGGAGAGAGGGGGTTTATCATACCAACAAATTGTCTTACCATTCCGTTATCATTGTTACTATTTAATTATCCCTGCTTTCAGGCACTCGATGGTACCTGAACCAAATGACAGGTAATGATTAAATCCACACTGCAGCTAGCTATGGCAGTAAAGTTTAGTTTTTGTTTAGGATATTTAGTTATACAGTGTCTAGACTCTGGTAGTTTTAAAAGGATCCGCTAACAGGAGGTTAGCTTTGTACTCAAATCCTGGTAAAAATCTGGACTTTAAATTCACATCCCTGCATATTAATGCTGAACAAGATCTTTAAAGTGTCAAGCTAGTATTTAGGAAATCAACATTCTTGCAACATTACGGTTTATTTAAAGAATGTCACTTTCTAGTAAAATATGAAGAAACTTACCGTCTAGCTAAATTGCAAATGATAATTTTGGGAATGCCACTTGCACTATTCTTTACTATGTCGATCTGCTGATGCATTATTGCCTACGACTGAAACGGTTAATCTTGTCCACTGAGCTCTGTTTTACGAGAGAGATACCGTATACAGTAAATACACACTCTACCCATATTGCTCAACTTCATTTAAATATCAAAGCTGCTAAAGGGTTAAAAGCAAGTAGTGGCCATCTTTTTACAGGTAGGTTAAATTGTTGCTATGTCGTCATATATATAATGTTGCCAGCAAAACCTGTGGGTAGTTAAACATTTACTCTAAGAGGAATGGTTTAGTCGAAATATTATTGTGATTTGTACAACATAACCGGTAAGGTAGGTAACCATGGTAACCGCTACTGCAATCGCAACCAAGTGACTCGCTTTTGGCTGCATTTTCTCTTAGTCCCGTAAGTATTTACAACCGTCAATACCAAATTGGTGACCTATCTCGTGAAATCGAATAAAATAATTAGTTTTTGTCGTAACGACACATTAAACAATGATCTTGGAAAGTTATGATCGGATTCCGTCTAATTTCGACCGCAAAGTGTCTCTTGGCAATCTACTTTGAATTTCCAAATTTTATGTATCCAGCTCAATTAATTTAGTTTTAATCAACAGAAAACCATTATGAGATATTATCTTTAAGATATTATCTGGGAAGATATCATCATATCAAGAGCTATGTTCTAAATTTAACTGCCTTTTTAACCTTTGATGTTGAAAATGCATCTCACTGTACCTGGTCTAACCTTGATCCCTTGTATCATAATGTATGTAAATATATTTAATATTTATTGGAAAAATTGCAATATACATACTTAGTTGCCACGGAGCCAAAAGTTTTAAAAGCTAGCCAGAGTTTAGAATCAACCTTGAATCAAGATAGATTTATTGTGAGAGGAGTTGAGCTCCTGCAGAGGCCAGAGAGGTTGATTCTTAAGCGTTAATGTGTATTACATTGTTTTCTGATAATTGTATATCTGACGACTGAGAATGTAAGATGTACTTTCTCAGTCATTAACAATTTCTTCGTCAACTTCTCAATGTATCCTAGACTATAATAAATGGCCGAAATATGTGTCATAATTTCCCAAAAATGTTTTCCGCTTATGTCCAGAAAACAGATCGACTAAAACATTTTGTTTTGCCCTAAAAGATAAAAAAGATCAGCTCTTCTAAAAAAGTCCTCTTTGACTTTCCTCTCGAATTCAAAAACTCCTCTCTGTCAGAATGCCAGACTGCAGTGTTTCTATGAACACATAATACTCGCATTCATTCCACTGCGTTCCACACTTTTGTAAATTTGCAGTCTAGTCTAAAATGAATAAAGGAGTATTAAGCTTATTCTTTAAATCCCAAAAGTTGCACAATGTTCAAATGCAGTGATTATTTTACTTTATTTTTTAGTTTATATTACAGATATCCCGGATATTTATGAGACATGTGGGAAGTTTTGTAGACTTATTGATCTTACAAACGGATAGATTTCAGTAATATTATGTTACCCTAAAATGTAGAACCAAAGAAAGTATATTATTATTATCTTCACATGCCGTATGTAAAATAACATTATAATATTATATACCTGTAGAGAATAGAGATATAAAGATAAAACGTACTAATCACTACTACTGCGTGTATTTAACAACATATCATACATTGTCCAACGCACGTGTAAATGCAACGCACGTGCAAATGCTCTGATTAACTAGAAATGTGGCTTATGACTGTGGTGTATAACTGATTGCGTCACTATTAGTCAGATAACATGGACATTTCCAACATAATACACGTAATATACATGTAATAGGTACTTATTTAATCTAACTGTATCTTTAAAGTGCAGCACAAAAGCACTCCAATATTGCTGCTTCCTCAAACTTCGTAATTACACAATATCTGCACTGAGCTAATTACATTGTGTTAATTACAGTGTATGATTAGCATAATTACAGTGTTTAATTAACATGGGGTAATTATCATAATTAGCTCTTGTAGCTGTTGACCGAACTGAGCTGAGAGTTACTCTGCTGTAACACACTCTGCATCACACACACAATATCACATACTTAAAAAAATAAATTGTGTAACTTACACATACATCACATATTTAGAAAAAAAAGAACTTTTGTAAGTTATCTTACACATACAAATAGCATATCTTTATTTTATTATTTATCGGGATGTGTTCCAAAGTTATGTGCAGGATGTGTCTGTGTTATATTTGTTTTGTACATGTCGTATTGTCGTCTTATAGTGTGGTACATACATACCGATAATATATATGTTATAATTTAGGGATACACAGAAGTCGAAAGTAGAAATATGTATGGTATTTGGGTTATATTTAGGAAGATTTCTCGACATTTACTCGAAATATTTAGAACTGGCGCAATAGTAAACTGTATCTATTTCGATATTCATCCTGGAAATTCTGCATACTCACCATTCTTATAGATCTTAAAAAGTGGATGGCGAAAGTAACAAAAATGGCGGTGACAAGCCGACCATATTCGCAGCGATTGTCTTCATAAAAAGTCGGAATTTCAATAAATTCGATATTTTTATGACAGATTTATGACAGATTCTTCTATTTTTCAATTTCAAAAATAGATGAATTTGTCAGAAGACTAGCTGAAATATGTATTCAATATTTCCACCTGATGTCATGACGTATTGAATCTTTGAATCAAACTCTGCTCAAGAATGTTTTGAAGCTATAATATTAAAACATCTGATTTTGGAATGATCCCCTTACATCTTTGTTATAATTATTTCTTTTGGAAACAAAATAGAATATAACATACAAAATAGTATTAAAACTTACATAATAAAAACAATTCTTTTTAGCCAGGTTCTCTAAGAGAGGTTTTCTTAATCCACCGTTCTAGTAGTTGTAGTTTCTTCCCTCGAGGCTCGATATCTTTCACCATCCTAATAGAACTCGTCCTCTACTGTGACGCCACTTCTTTATAATCCTCTAATTTTGGAAGTACTATTATTAACAAGTGAAAGGCTTAACTTGGCAAAGTTGCTATGGCAAAGAGCGAAATTGCCTGGTTCACCCTTCTGACTGGGGATCTCTGATCCGCCAACAAATTCCTTTACTCCTTTACCAACACTCAAGATTAAAGTTTATAGAATTAAAAGTCATTATTCCATATTAATATTAAGTATAATCGTTAAGCCGTTCCAAATTAACTTGAAACTTGCGACAGTATCATTGCCATTTACATGGAAATGTACAATCATATTAAACTGTTTCCGAGCTACTGTCACTCCGGTGCAATAAGCGTTCTTTAACGGTCTTTAGCCTTCTTTAGCGTTCTTCAGCGTTATTTAACGTTCTTCAGCCATTCCAAGAATCTATATTATACCTCCAAACAACCAACCTAAAACAATCACCCTCTTACAGCTCACTGTATTTCACAACCCAGCCCACAATACCACGTGTGAACACCACGTGTTAGTTTGACCTATAAAAATATTAGGTGTAGTACTTGACACGTTGTGACACAGCCCTACATAATAACACGGTACGTGTTAATATCTCCACCACCTCCAGCAGCAGCAGTAGCAGGTATAGTTAGCAGCCGGGTTATCCTTACTACTCCTTTATAATATAGCCGGGTTATACCGCCCACATCTGGTTACTCACCACCGACTTAGTTTAACAGAAGTCACGACTTAAAAGGTTGAAAAGTTCCACCTGTCGCTGTCCTTTATACTGGACTTTGTAATTTATAGTTTTATACGCATTTATAATATAGTAGTAAAACAGTCTCCAGTATTGTTAGAGTTAGCATCAGAGGACCCGGTACTGCTAACTGCTCACTTCACCTCTAATGTCCGGCAAGTTATCACATTATAACTTGAATAATATGTGTCTGTAGGAGCAGGTGTGTGTGTGTGTAGGGCTCACTTTACCTCTCCGTTTGGACAGAGAGAGGTCAGCAAATAAGCTAACATTTATTGGAGCTGTGTTTTTTTTTTTTTTTTTTTTTTTTTTAAGAGAGGCTGGGCATAGAAAGCCCACTAGAGGATAGCATTAAGATGCTTTGCCTACCTCTGGGATGAGGGGGGGTTTATCGGAGACAACAGTGTGAATTGTGGAGGACGGTGGTGGTAATGATCTGAATGGGAATACCGCGCTTTGGTACCAGATGAGTTTATAAATCAGTTAGGCAAGGCTGCATATGTAATGTGTTAATGCGCTAAGTTACGCCAGTCTGATCCAGTTCTTCTGGTACTATTAAGCGTTTGGTGCGGTTTGTGAAGTTGACGATTGTGGTAATGTGGTGGTTGTCGAATATGTCGTTGACCGAGAGGTAGTAGTCCCGAAAGTATTGACCTCTTATTTGGGCAATAGCTGGGCACTGTCCAAGAAAGTGTGAGACAGTTTCCTCTCCGTCACCGCACATAGGACAAGCACTGGTGCTTGATTTGCGGATGGTGTGGAGGTGTTTGTTTAAGCCACAGTGGCCCGTGATTAGGTGGACTGCGGTTCTATAGTCTTGTCTATTGTTGATGAGTGACGTGTTTATGTTATTGATTATTTTGGTGTGCTTTTGGCCAAGTGTTAGTTTGGTGTGTCTAGGACCATCCGTTAACCAGATATCCTGATTCAGTCTGTGGACTTTGTTGTTGATTTGTCGTTTGATGTAAGATGA